TTTCTTGTTTTTTTTCTTCAACTTCTCCCTCAAATTTTTCATAAAATTTTTTATAACGATAAATCCGAAACGGTACGCGAAAAATTCCGGTATCCGGTATGTACCGTTCCAGTAACAAAACCGGTACGCATGCCGGTACGGTATTGACAACTTTGGTAAAAATCCCCAAGTTTGGAGATAGAAGATATACCCTCTGTTTCAAAATATAAGGCCTTTGACTTTTTTGCACATTATTTTAGATAATATTTTTTTTATACTATATACATAATACTTAATTTATTTTTATATCAAATGAAATTACTCAATAAAAATGATGTATAAAAAAAATCTTAATTATCATTCATGTAATATAAAAAAAATTTTACTTAAAATTAGGAGTAAACAAATCAAATAACTTGTATTTTAAAACAAAAGGTGTAAAAAATGAAATAAATGTTGGTGTTCAAAATTCAATTCTTCAGAATTATTTGATCTTATGGTTTGGTGTCTACAAAATTTAATTTACTTATTGGTTTATTTTTTATTGGTTTCAAAAATAAATTACTTCTAGGAAGGATAAGACGTACCCTCCAACTCTGATCCTACCTTTTTAATGTCCCATGAAAGGAAATAATTAAGATTATTTTTGTTTCCTAACACTGATAATTCATAGATTTAATCTTATGAGATGATATTTAAATAATGTAGTGTAGATAAATTTGTTTTGTAGGTTGAATTGATTTATTTAGTAACTGATTTTAAATTAATGAAAGTGCTTATTTACAAGAGTTTGCATTTCTTCACTTCTATTATGCCAGACTCTGAAAATGGGGTCATCAATTGGAGAGGACAACTCCTTATTCAAGAAATCCTCCTTTTATTATTATTATTATTTTTTCTGAACGGCTACAACTTTGGAGGTGGGGAATACAAAATTCAACTCTTGAATTGAGGTACATTTATAATTTGACTTATAACTATCGATTCAAGAAGGCTAGGTGCAAAAAATCCTCATCTGTTTTGATCCTAATGTATCACATTATAGAGTACTTTTCTTCATTTATAAATTTAAAAATTAATTTGAGATATCATCAATTTTAAATTGTATAAAAAGTTTAAAATATTAATTTTAAATTATTTATACATAAAAATTAAAATTTATTTACACATAATTTTTACATACATTACTTATATAAAATTTTAACTTTTTATTCATCTCTCAACATGTGAAATTACTTTTCCATTTTTGAACCAACTTTAGTGGAGGCAAAAAAAAAAGAAAAAGAAAAATATTTTTCCAAGTCAACCTACAAAAAAAAGAGCGTAGGAAACTAGGAATTCATTAATAATGTTTAATTTTTTCATAAGTATTTCCGTACTTTTTATTTTTTGCACATCGACCTAAAAGTATCCTTTCTTCGAGAAACCAATTAACCTTTGTTTTTTTTGATAAAAAATTAACGTGTTACTAGCGGGAATCATGGGGTCAATCAGATATGATTAGCAGAGGGATTCTCCAAAAACTTCTGATAATTTTGATTTAGATAGAAGGAAAATAATTAGCATATATTCAGTTTAATATATTTTTTAATATATTTTTAATTTAATTATTAAAAATATAATATAAATATAATTTATTCA